CCCCCCCCCCCCCCGTAGACCGATTATCAAAGCTGGATTGCTTCCGAAAACAACTTGTGCCAACACCACAAGTGTTTTTTTTGTTTTGGAAACATCTCGTCGAGGGCTTTCCGTCCACGTATCGGGCTCCTTTTCTGCGCCCGCTCGGTTGTGGAGCAATGGAGCTTTGAAAATCGGTCTAAGGGGGTTGCCATTTCTACGCCTCTTACGGAATACCACGGTACGGTGTACGGTACGGTACAGACAATCTTGGTTGTGGGTGGAGCAATGGAGCTTTGAAAATCGGGGACCGCCTATGCAGGATTTCAAGAGTATCTAGAAAATGAATAAGGAGGGGGCACGCAGACCCTATCCCTAACCTCAAAGAACGGATTTAATGCTTTATCCCAAGTGTTTGCTTAATCGATTTTGCTGCGTAGACTACTGAAAATCGGTGTGGGGGGGGTGCCGCCTCTGCGCCTGTTGCGGTAGATATTCACGGCGTACGCATTTGTCAGCGTAAAGTATTACGTCAAGGTAGAAGATTCAGACGTTATATACTTCGAAGTATGCCGATTCATGTTCCCTTCTGGTCAGTGCGCGTTTGGGTTGTTGGTTTCCGGCTGCATGGGGTACATCTGTTTTTTTTTTTCGCTTGGTACGTGGACTGGTGCCTCGACTGGTGCCTCCGAGGAGATGGAGGGGCGCTTTGAGTTGGTGTTGTGGCAAGCCTCCGATCACGGAAAAACGTTCACAGATCGCGGGACTAACAAATGTTAAGTGTTGACTTTGGTGTGGTACACACAGATCCGAGGTGTTTGGAGGCTGCGTGCACGCACCAGAACGCGTGATTGGTCGGGTGAATTTTGTCTCGTTGGTATGTAGTCGTCGTCGAGCCTTGTAACGCGCTGCTGTTGTTGCCACGAACGACCGCACAGACGCCAGAAATGGCACCATCACCACCGCCGAACATGACTGTCGGTGCAAGCACCAGACGTTCCCTCGCGCATCTGGGGAGGGGGGCTGTTGTTGGGGTTGTAGTCGTCGACCCGCGCACCCCCCTCTTGTGTTTTTTGTTGTAATCTGTGTTCGTTTCTTCCGTCATGTGCATCGCCTTGACCTGATTCCCGAACAACTTTCTTTTTCGGCGCTTCCGCGTGTTGTCCCTTTTCGCAACACCGGGGAACGGGTAATGAATGCAACACGACTTGCTGCGTGCCATGAAAACACGTGCACGTGCCACCATGATCTCAAGGGGCGCGACCAGCAACGAGATCGGAGAGATCGGAGAGCCTGAGGTCGGAGTCCGGGTACAGCTCCGACCAGGCCCGCTCCACGCTGTCCTCGATGTCGGCTCCAGCCGCCTTAGCGGACAGGCTGCCGGCCGACAGCGGTCGAAGCGACCGACCGCAGGCCAGCAGCGGACCACCACCACTGCCGCTACCCCGCACGCTCCAGCCCAGGATCGGTGGTACTAGTCACGCTGGACCTAGCCGGACTTTTCACCAGCCTCGCGGTCACCGTAGAGCTGCAGGCGTTGGCGGGCGCCCCGGCGAGAGCAGAGCGGCGCCCGTCGGACGGTCGCCGACACCTATACCGAAGTCGTTGCGGCCCAACCCTAGGTGGCCGCGCAACCCGAGGTCGCCCGCGAGGCGGAGCAATGTTGTTACCCGGCGGCGAACGGCGGCGGCATCGGGATTTTCTAGCCCGCCTGCGGTACACATCGCATCGCCCGGTCCCTCCGGTGGTGGTGCTGCTGCTGCTGCTGCGTCGTTGAACACGAGGTTAACGCCCGTGTCGGAATGGACGCTGCAGAGCGGTGCCGACGGCAGCCGGGAACGCCAGATCAGCGGCACTAGCAGCAGCAGCAGCAGCAGCAGCAGCAGCGGAAGCTTCTGCGGGAACACGAGCAGTATCGACAGCAGCGACGGCGAGGATCAGCTCCCCTCCGATCGGTAAGTAAGGGATGATTCTGGGAAGATGCGATGGGTTTGTTGCGCGTGCGAGGACGGTGCTCTAGAGGAGGACGCCGTTGACTACAGCAGTGTGCTACGCTTGGTTGTTTGTTGCTGTTGGCATTTTTGTCGCGTAACTCGCCTTCCTGATGCCGACCCCATCACCTCCGATCACCTCATGATCCAAATCAGCATTTGGACGACCAAACCAACATGTGTCGTCCCGAGTCCAGCACGGAATTTTTTTTTTGCGAAGTCCGGAAATGTACCGACGGGGTGATGTAGAGGGTGCCTACCCGAGGGGATGTCGACGGCTGCGTTGGATGACAGCCATTAGGTGACAGTGTTGCCCTGGTGCACCCGTTTGTGCGTATGTGTTGTGGCAGTATTTCAAAATGCATTCCGCTCCCTCCCCCTGTTGTGCGCTTTTCTTCCATTTTCGTGCTTGCGTGCGTTGTATCAGAGTGGCGCAGTTAAGCAAATTTGGGGAAAAGCGGCCAAGCGGGCCGTACTCGCACAGGTGAGTGGACGTGTGCAAGAGGGGAAGGGGGAGCATTGACCTTTCGCTAGGTAGTAGGTTGTTTTGTGCCTCTTCTTTTTGGAGTACCCCACCTCGCCGTGTTTCTCCCGAACGGATCGAGGTGATGACGCCCGTAACACGCTCATGCATTACTTAGACTCATATGCAAACAGCAGTTTACTAATCTCCCGTAGAAGCGTATGCGCGCATGTTGCGTCTTCAGCAGCATTTACATAGTGCATTTGCTGTGGAAATGCACCCCCAGCGCTGGTTGGACGCAGACAGTGGCGTAGTATCAGCCGCTATGCTCACTCCAACTTCCATCACCGTCCCCCGTCTCTGCTGAACCCCCCCGCCCCCGCTCCCGAAGGCATACGCCACGCTCCCATCATGCGAGTAGCACCTTTCTTTCTGGCAGGTCCTCGGAGAGGTCCGGTCGGCCGGCGGCGCAGTCGTCGCTTTCGTTCCGCCCGTCCGCGCGTTCGTCGCGATGTCCCCAACGCTCCGGACTCTTGGATCGGCATCCCGGTGTCCGTCACTTGTCGCCGGCCGCGGTCCACGACAGAGCGGGGGCGGCGGAGGCGCGGCCTCGTAGCGCATCCGGTAGCTCCCCGCTGCTGCTTACGCGGACGGAAATCGTGCGCCCGACTTCACGGGCTCAGGGTCGGGCTAGTAGTACCCCTTCTCCGCGACCACCATCGGAGGGCACGAGCGCGGCCGCTGCTGCTGCCGCGGTGGCAACAAGTCCCACCGCCAGCCCGCCCAACGGGGAGCAGGCGGTGCTGCAGAGAGTCTCCGCTCCGGAGTCTCCTCGTTCGGGTTTCCCCTCGGCGGTGGCGACGCTCTCCACCCCGCAGCGGATGCGGCGGAAGTCTTACGCGCAGCGGGCGACGTCGTTCTCCGTAGAGGACACGCTGCTGCTGGCGTCGAGCGGTCTAGCGGCCTCAGGTAGCGGGACGGCGCCGGCGACTCCCCAGCGCCGGTGGGAAGCTTCACCGTCGACCCCCCGTAACTGGCCGATCATGACATCTTCCGCGGGCAATACTCCTAGCCGCCGTCACCGCCGTATCCGCCAGCGGGACTCTTCGCCACGGCGCGGGGTGGTGGGGGCGGGTGGGCCGGCCGCGGCGAACAGGCACGGCGGGGAACCCGGCAGGAGACAGTCGTGGGGGGAACAAAAGCAGACTGAGGCGGAGGAAGAGATACATGGCGGCGGCGTGAGCGGCTTCAGCGGCAGGGTGCCGGGGGAGGGTGCCGCAGCTCGAGGTTACGTCAGAACGAAACAGGAGCAGCCGCTGGGTGTAGGCGTGCGGAGGGCCGGCGGGGGAAGGGGAAGGGCGAGTGCTCCCTTAACGGAGTCAAGCCCGAGCGGTGGTGTAGTCTTGAGAAGGTCGTGGGAAGAGAGGAAGTATTCGACGAGGGACGACGAGGAGGAACAGGAGGAGAAGGGGAAGCGTCGCAGCAGTCGGGAGAAAGACGACGGCGTCGCTCGACTACGGGGCGTCGCCGGCTTTGACGTCGGAGTTAGTACCGCCGGAGAGCCGCCGCCGCCGCCGCCGCCGCCGGGCTGCGATTGGGATTCACCGGTCCCCGCCGCCGGTGGCCTGGACGGCCGACGCTCCAGTGCCACGCGCGCCGAGGAGGACAGGTGGCCGGAGGACTTCTTGGAGAAGAGTCCGCCCTCCGAGCCCGGGAGCCACAAGACGTGCTCCACCCAGTGGTCGGAGATGGACTCGCAGTCGCAAGGGTCCGGGAACTCGTACGCCGGGAGCACAAACAGCAGCAGCGCGATGAGCGGTGAGGCTGCCTACCGCCTGACACATTTTTTTGTTTTTTCCTGGTGTCGTTTCTCTCTGCATCTCTTGTGTGGACTCGTGCGGATGATGGTATTGCTGAAAAAAAGTCATGTTGGCGAAGGCTTGGCAACTGCCGCCTGCGAAGATCGTCAACCGAGAGTGGACAATGTACAGATTTTTACGCACAGAAAGATGCGTAGCAACGGTTACCCGTGACGGGATGAACCAATTCCTGCGTTTTCCGTGCCGACCTCGCTTCGTCGGCAACATGTGCATACCGCCTGGGTAACCTCGAAACAACACCATGGCGGACACAGAATCGTTTTCAGTCTTTCCCCGCTTTTCGTTGTCCAGTCACACCACTCTATCTCTCATGTCTTATTATCCTCTAACCCCCCCCTCCCCTTCTCAGCACATCCCGCGGGAAGACGGTCGGTCCACTCGCGGTCAACGACGACGAGCCCGCGTCCCCACGCGCCCACAATCGCCGAGGCGAAACGCCCTCCGCCCGCCTCCTCTTCGCCGTCGCTGGCGGTAGTGGTTTCTACCGGCGGGCCCAAGAGCGGTCCGGAACCTTGCAACCCCCGGGAGGATGTATCTGGGGGGGATACTCCCAACCTGCTGACCCCGGGCGCCTTGACTCCGGGTGCCCTGCGTGCTAGGTCAGAGTCTGCGCCGATGATATGGGACTGAGTGGGCGACAAAGAAGGCGATGGTGTTTCGTCATCGCATGGTGGAGGGGGAGGGGCAGGTGTTGCTCCACCTTGAATGTTTTCTCGAGAAGGACCGGGAGAGGAGGTGGAGGGCCAGAGCGGTGATATGTTTCTGGAGCGTGTTTTGTTTTCCTCGCTCTGTGTGAAGAAGATGGGGGGGGGCGGGGGGGGCCGCAGTTGGGGGGTGTACCCTTGCCCGTGCGTTCCCGTTTCCTTCGACTGTGACTGTTCTCGGGTAGGTGGGACAACTGGCTGTGTTCTGCCGAAGGTTTGCTTACGCTGTGTGGGTACTCTTCGCTCAATACCCCTTGTCTCTTAGCGGTGACGAGCCGCGTGGTTATTGATGGCACGGCCGTGCGCTGCGGCTTCTCGCTCCTGGTCCGTGTACTGTAGCTTTTTAGTTTGTTCTTTTCTGTGAATAATAACGATGGGTACCATGTCGGGTATTGAAGGGTTGGCCTGGTGTTCTGTTCTGTGTCCATCCAGACATGTTTTGTTTGCCGCATGTACAGTAACTTACGTGGTTGCGATTGGTTAGGGGGTATAATGGCCGGCGAGGGACAGATGGTGAATGAAGTTTTCGACATTTGGTTGCCCGTGCTGCCGGGGGGGGGAGGGGTTGGTTGAGTGGGACGGGTTGGGAGTCGTGAGCATGGCCAGCGAGTCATGCGGCTGCGGCGTTAGCCCACCTACAAATATGGGTCTTGTCTGTTTGTCTATCTAAATCTGTCTGTTTGTCTGTCTGTATGTTAAGTCTATATATGTTTTGTTTCTGTGGCTTGTTCTTCTGCCGGTGTCTGTCTCGTCTCTCTGTATTGCCTGTCTGTCTCTCTTGTCTTGTTGTCTGTCCTAATGCTTAGAAACTTTTGATGGTTCGAAATTGACCCCTTGTACGAAGTGACCCCATGGCCAGCGGGTTGTTCCGTCGCCGAGAATTTAGGAGGGTTCGAGGAGGGGTTAGCTGGGTAGGGGTCGCGCAAGTGAACCGGCATTGGATGGACGACTTGTATACCGCCACACACGCACCTTATTCGAGGGTGTTGATATCCGCAACTTAGTTAACTTTTGTGAAATATTTGTCCTCCTTTTTTGCCTATTTTCGAATAATTGTCGTGTTCTGTATGTAACAACCGTTTGTACACGCGTGTTTTTTGTTTTTGGTACTGCCTCAAAGTATAGTCGGTCCAGAGCTGTGCTTTTGCGACACATTGCCCTAATTTGTTTTTTTCTCCCAAGGTCCGTAGTCGGAAGCCTGGCTGCACAATGTTCTTGCGTTGACGATGCAATATCCTCGGCGTGTGTTGCGATACATTTAGACTAGCGGGGGGGGAAATGAGATGGCAAGGCTTGTTGAAAGTGACCAATCCAAGCCACCCTGTCGAAATTGTACTGGTTGTCTGCCGCTGGGTGGAGTCCATCGCGTTTGGCTACAATTTCTTTTTCTACGTCTCGTTTTCGTCGGCAGCCTTGTCTGTGTCTGGCCTGCTGTGTTGGTATGTGACGCACATCTTATTTTTATTTCCGGTTGTACGGGTCTGGCGTCTATTTAGTGTCCCACCTCCCCGCTCTCCGGGCATTTATTTTTTTTTAGTGGAGAAACTCATTGACAGTCAGTTAGTGCCGTAGAGGCAACTCTCCTACTGCTCGATTTCCCCACTCGAATGGCGGGAGAAACAAACAAAAAAATACGACCTTTCATGGGGGGTAGGCAGCGCGGCGTTCTTGAGCGGATTTCAGGGTTGTTTAGTAAACGCAACAAATTAAGTTTTTTTGTATAGTGCTCTAGTATGCCTTGCAGAGGCGTATGGATGGCTTTTTCCCGGAAGATATACTTGTACGCTGAAATCTTCAGTATCTTCGTGTGCACACACATGGCCATCACTGATGTTGGTGTTTTTTACTGTGTCCGCGTGCATGTCGGTCAGTGGCGTTGGTTCCCGTTCGTTGTCAGTTGATGGCGTTAGCTTGCACGCCGGCAACGTGAACGTGTTTCTTGGTTCTGGGGTAGACTTCTACATTTTTTTTTTAGAATCACAACCACCCGGAAAAATCCATGTTTCGCACCAAGACGCGGGCAAAACACCACGTCAAGTTTGGATTGACTGCGTACGGGATGCGTATGCGTGTTTTGTCAAGAAAAAATTAGATGTTCATGTGAGCCATACGTTGTGGGCACCACGCTCCTCCCCCCCACACGGAAGTCGGGACGTACGGTGTCCTTCTCGGCACCCTATCTATACACATGGATGAATGTGCGTGCTGCTGCACGATGCTGTTGAGGGCGGGATAAATGGCACATTCAAGTAAGCGTGGCCTAGCGTAAACCTTTATCGGCCATAATCATCCCCTGTACTGCCGCCAGAAACTGATCGTTGGAGGAGCGTGGCAAAACTGTCAACACTGCTGTCGGCATGCAATTGGTCATCACAGGACTCTGAGCAGACTTACTTATTGATTTGGCTCCAAAGATATCCTATAATGGTTGGCTCCAATATGTCTAAATTTAAGCTGTCTTAGTTAGCAGCAGCATGTCGTTATTGGGAGCATAATGTCTTAATTGACTCTAGCATGTCTTAATTTCCGAGCGGCTCGTCGAGATCCTTGCATCACGAGAGATTATAACCTTCGCTAGCCCATCATCGGCCGAAATATTCTGCGTGTAAACACCACCGAAACACTCACTTACTTCTGCACTTGCAAAAAATAAATATGTATATGTGTAGTCATGTGGACGGGCACTACTACACGGCCCTAGGTTTGCTAGAGGGAGCTGTATTGCCTCAGTAACCTGGCTTCGCCATCAAAGGAGGAGGGAGCAGGTGGCGACGAGCTGAACTAGGCTGGTTGACCATTCGGCGCGAGAATTTTTATTTTTTTCAGACCAAGAACCTTGAGTGCAATGAGGGAGAAAGCGAGGAACGGACTGGGAAGGACAGCGACGAGAGCGTGTACGGACGGAGCAGGTCGAGTGGCGTTTTGCTCGGGCTGACTACCGCGGCGCCGGATGGAGCAATGGCACCGGAGCATGCGGGCGACATCGACCCGTGGCGCACGGACAAACATTT